ACCTTACCATCTGACTCCATTGCTGATAACCCTCAAAAAAATCAAGTTTTATCAGATTTGAGTGATTTTGACTCTGATGAACACTCTGATTCCCAATCAGAACCCTCTCAATCAGAACCCTCACACTCAGAACCCTCTGAACCATCTGTTTCTCAACCCATTCCAACTGAACACTTTTTAAGACATCCTCTTAGACCTCTATCACTCAGACCCTCTGGATGGTATGACGCTGGATCTTGGAGAATTCCTGGAATCACCGTTCCTCTGGCAACACAAAAACCACCTTTCACCTTACCATCTGAAAACATTTTTTCCATACCATCACATCAGAACCCCAATCCCACTCATGAAAATACTATAATCATTTCACCTGACATCACTCCACCTACTTCACCCCAACATCTAACACCAAACTCACCTACACTCTCACCCCCTCATATTCCAAAACAACAATCTGTTGAACCACCTGAAATTTTTGAATCGTACGAACCCCATGAACAAACAACACCACCTAACTTTGTTGACCAACCTGATCTTTGACCCACTCCTGAACCAACCAAAAATCCTGAACCTGCTAGTTTTTTAAGAACTATAGTGGATTATGAATCTCTACAGTTTTTGAAAAATAAATCTTTCAAGAAGGCTGTCCCAAAACCTGTTCATTCAGATGTGAATACTTTGTTTCAGAATTTTATAACAGATGTTCAAGCATGGTTAAATCTGCTGAAAGAAGATTGTGCCAGAAGCGTGAACCCAGCTGCAACAGATCTTCTGTGGGAATCTTTCAGAAGAACTTTGGATGCTAAGTCACTGAAGTTACATGACTTATGCCACTTTCAAGTGCTGGACAACTTTTCCAAACTTTTGCATGCTTTCAAGTCAGAAGCTGCTGACATTTGGAATAAGAAGTCTTCGTTAATGATTACTGATACACCAGCTGATACAATGGACATATCAGAAGATGAATCTGAAGATGCCTCTGGAGATTCAAATCATCTGGCTATTGTTCTATTGAATCAACCTTCTATTAAGGCAGCTCCTGAACCTGTGCCAAACCTTGTAATGGATCTGGGCACTCTGCTTTCCACCTTTGTGCATTCTGAATCAACGGTTGTTGCTCCCAAGCCTGTTTCTGCTGAAGCTTCATCATCCTCTGCCCCTACCTCACTTATCATGGACACTCTGAATGAGCTCAAGAGGGAGAATAAAGTCATACACGAACGCTTGGACAAGCAAGACCAAACAAATCAAGAAATCATAAGCTGGGTGATAAAACAAGAAGAATCTGCCTCTGAGATCAAGAATCTTCTGATGGCTCTTGTTACTAAGAAATCCTAGTTTCTTTCTGTCTCTTGTCTTTTGTTTGGGTGTTTTGTACTTCTGGATATTTCTTTTACCTTTTTATGAAATCTTTTAAGTTCTTCAACTATTTTATTTTTACACTTTTTGATTATGCCAAAAAGGGGGAGAAGATGAGTATTTTGAACTAATCATTGTTTAACAGTTATGGGACTAAGTCTCAGACATTCTAACAAAATACAAGATTTCTTTCTATGCAAAAGAATTTATTTTGCAGGTATCACTTAAACTCAAAAAGTTTAAGGGGGAGAAAATCTCCTTAAAGAAGTTCTGAAGAAATCCAATAAGATATTTTTTATACTCTGATAAATAAACTCAGGAAGTTTTATATATAGAAATATTCATTTTAGGGGGAGATTCTTATCTCTTATCATATTTTAATTCTATATCTGAATAATTTTTGTCATCATCAAAAAGGGGGAGATTGTTAGAACAAGATTAGTTCTGATCTATCTCAGAGTTTTGATGATAACAATAAATTATATCCTAGATAATTTATACTCTGATGAATGTATTTGAATGTTTCAGATAATGTTCTGACAGAAGCATTCTGAAGTGCTAAGCAAAAAAAATTATATGAAGAAGTTCTTTAATGAAAGAACCATTTCTGTTTTTAAGCGCATCTGCTGACTCTGGTAAGACAATTTATTTTAAATACATCTTCTAACATTTAGCAGGATTCCTTTCTCAGAATATTACTTGAAAGCAAGTGTTGTTCAGAAGTTATTTGAAAGCAACCGCTGATCAAGTTCTTAGCAAGAAAAGCACTGCCTAGAAGATGAGTAAAGCATGTTCTGATTTCAAGACGTTGAAGCAAGTTCTGAAAGAACGTCAAAGCCAACTTGTCTTGTCAAGCGTAGGAAACATGTTCTTACATTTTTGTCATTTGCTCATTAATGCAAAGACGGCTGAAAGCACTCAAGTGTCTAAGATAGTTTCTTAGAAAATGGAATATTGCAAGGAAACACGCAAGCATTTAATGCTCTCCATTTTTCTGAAGGCAGCAACGGTCTTATTGTTCCTACTATAAATAGAAGGACATTTATTGCAAGCCAACTAACGAATCAACAACTTTCAAAAAGAGAAGCAAGAAACTACGTGAAAAATTCTAAGCTCACAAACTCTTGTTCATACACTTTGTGCAATTTATTTTTAATTGAAAAATCACAGTTGTGATATAGCTTGATTAGAAGCAAATATCTATTTCACTCTTTGTAAGATTGAACTCTTGTAATTGTTCCTTGAGAGACCAAGTTTGGTCAGTTTTCTCAAGTAGACTAGGACTAGATTTAAGTCTTAGTGGTGTTAGTCACTTGTAAGATTACTTGTGCATTGTTAGTCACAACAGTTGTTGTGTGTTTGTAATCATTTGATTATAGTGGATTAAGTCCTTGTTGAGAAAGGCGAAATCACCTTGACGGGTGGACTGGAATAGTTTGAGTTCAAACGAACCAGGATAAAAATAACCTTGTCCTTCCATTATTGTTGAACTTTGTTATTAAGGAAAAAGAGTCACTTATTCACCCCCCCCCCTTCTAAGTGTTTTCTTACCCATTCACTCCATGCCCGGGAGAACGGGCGCCTCCATGATGGCTTGTGATAGGGGACCGCGGGGGTCATCCTCATCACTTCGCTCCGGGGAGAGGGACGGGGACCTGATGTATTGTCGGTCACGAAGGCCCTGATCGTGCTGGGCGTTCCTCGAGCGATGTGTCCATTGACACGTTCCTCCGTGTCTGTCTCCAGGATGCCTTCTTACTTGCCGTGAAGGGTCGTGGTCGTGCCCTTCGGCTTCATTGATTGGCTCTCTCTCCAAGGCGGGTCGCCGCTCTAGTAGTCGGGGTGATGGGCTTCGAGAGATGCCCCGGTCTTGTCTCCGCTGGGGAGATCGGAGACGTTCCTCCATTCTTCGAGGAGGTGGGGATTGAGGTCTCCAGTGTCTCCTCGGGGGCCTTCGGTCCTCCTCTAGTGCTCTCATTCTTTCCCCTTGGGAAAAGATGAGGTAGTTGGTCTGGTTGATTGCCGCGAACAGTGCCCTGGTCGTGGCGTCTGCCCCGACGGGGACAGGAACTTCATGGAATTGAGCGGCTAGATGGTTCGGGGGAACTGAATTATCTTCTTTGAATCGAGGGGGGACCGATGAAGACGAAGCTGTGGCTCCATCCTGGTAGTTGGAGATTCCGGGGATGTTGCCGCCGGGAGAAGTGACATGGATTATGACGTCGGCGTTGTTGTCGGCGGGGTTATTGCTGGCCTCGATGACACGGGCGTTCTGGTTGTCCTGAGTTTGGTCATCCATGACGGTGGAAGATGGTTTTAGCTGTGGTCTTTGAAAGTTTGTAAGACAGGGAAGCTTAGATTCCCACAGACGGCGCCACTGATCTTACCTGATCAGAATTGGACCGTCACAGCTGGTTCGAACTGGATTTGAAAGAGATGGGGGAGTACCTTTAAGACACTCTGATGATAAAGTGAGAGACGGAATAAGCAGATGAATTGTATATAGGTGCGTAATAAATGAATATCTGACTCTCTTAAAACATAGGGTATTTATAATCCCCAGCGCTGGGTCAAGGTCCCTTTATTGGGCCGACCAAAACTGACCCAACAAAGGGACTGCCAGGTTCTACGTGAGTAGTGGGGACCTGCACGTGGTCCCCTTCCTGGATGATGCTCTGCGAAGAATAAGGAAGAACGAAGACGCAATCTTCCCAGAGCTCTAAGGACTCCGAAGCATCCGGAGGGACTGAGTCTGCCCTACGGGGAGGATGCTCGAGCAAGGCTCGAGTTGAGGTGTCCTTGGTCGGGGACGCCTCTCGTTGCGGACAGCGGCGGGCATAGCCGTTGTGGCCCGTGACTGGATATGCTCGGGGGATCTGGTTCCCAGCATAGCTCGAGGCACGGTTTGGATTTGGATCTTACTTGTGTTTTGGGCCAAGGGCAGACCCAATCCAGAACACTTTCCTAAGACTAATCTGAAACAACAAAAAAGTTATACCAGAGAAAAACTCATAACCGCCATTATATCCTATATTTCGATTGGCACCCTATTGCATATACCTCTCCGCAACCAAAAAAAAAATGATATTGTGAAATGTACATAGTATTAATTATTTTTTATCAAGAAAAACAAAGAGACAACGCACACGTTATTAACAATGTTATTAACAATAACATAAATTCTATGTATTTTAGTTATATAGAAGAGAGAAAAAATAGTATAAAGACAAAAGCTATTTTTGTGGGAAGTGACGAGTCCTCCCGATCCAATTTGCCGCGGATAGCATTGGGAAGATAATTTCCACCATGTTCCATTTGTACAAAATGCATTATGAAGTACACATGCTGAACTAAAAAATGCAAATTGGAAGTAGTAGTAGCTATAAATGGACTAATTCAGAAATTTGTTACAAAAAACAATTTTTATGCTCAATTTAACCTCCAAAACAATAAGTGGAGGAATTTTAGGAAAATAGAATTATCGAGTTACATTTGTTTTGTTATATTATAGATAAAAAATTTATAAATAAAAATAATGGACCATGTCCTCTTATATGAAGGCCCAAATCCAAATAAAAAAATAAATCTAAAAGCGTGCCACACCAGTTTGAAAACCCTAGAAGCGCCGCTCTCGAGAAGCCATGCGAGGAATCGATTTGTTGCCGACTGTAACAAATGTTGAGGTTCACAGTCATACACCTGATGATATTATTTTCTCTATTCTGTCCAAACTCTCTCTCAAATCTTTCAAGCGATTTCAATCTGTATGCAAATCATGGTGTCTTCTCTTTGATGATCCTTATTTTTTCAACATGTACAAAAAATCTTTCTTAGCAAAGGATTTATCTTATTACGATGATACATCTCTCCTCTTGTATCTGTTTGGTGAAGACTCTCAAAATCATTTGTATTCTCTTACCGGTGAGAGATTTGAGAGTAGAGTCAAATTACAGTTTCCAAAGCCGTTTCTGGGAAGATCACTACCATTTCCACTTAATCATCACTATGGTCTTGTAAGTTTGGGTTCATCTAGTATTAATGGCATTCTTTGTCTTCACTGTAATTACAACGGTGTTAAGAAACTTATATTGTGGAATCCAACTACCAAGGAACTAAACAAAATTCCTTCCAATCGAGACGCCTCAACATCATCATCATCGTATAATCGGATGGATTCTTATGATCATTATCTAGTTGGTTATGACCGCTTTAAAGATGACTATAAGGTCATTCGAATCATATTTCGGAGATCATCTAACCCTGAATTCCCACATATTTCTTGTGAGTTATATAGCTTAAGTAGCAACTCTTGGAAGAAAATGGATGATCATATTCACATGCCTAGATGTCATGCAATCAACGACGAAGTGTACATGGATGGAGTGTCTCATTGGGGGGATAGAACTGGAACACAGACGTGTGTAGTGTCATTTGACTTCACCACTGAATCTTTCATTACAACACCCATTCCTTCTTATATTGATGATGATGACGATGATAGTTTAGCCCTCATTCATGGTTGTAAAGTATCGAGACACTTGCTGATATTGAATGGATCTATTGCTTTCATCTTAATTTATTTGGATATGTCTACCATTCACATTTCAATTTTAGGGGAAATCGGTGTAAAAGAGTCGTGGATTAAACTCTTCGTTGTCGGGATCTCACCTGACCTTAAGTATCCAGTTGGAGCGGGAAAGAATGGTAAGATATTTTTCAAAACAAAAGACAAAAAATTAGTCTGTTTTGATTTAAGTACTGGGATGGTTGACGAGATTAGTATTAGAGGACGATCATTTTGGTGTAATATATTATTCCATAGGAAAAATATTCTTCCAATAAGAGGAACACGCCATTGATCGTTTTTTCACCCAACAGTTTGGTCATATGAATTTTGATTTATCAATTTTATTTTGATGGTTTACTTTCTATTTGCAAATTAATATAAATTCTATTTCATTTGTTAGAATGCTCTTTTGCCTTTACTCAATCTGTATTGTTTCACTTCGTACGTTTGTTGATCAATCAACGACAGTGAGCACTTTCTCAACTGTGATGTTTTGGTATACATTCAATTATGATATGTGATTAATAAAACAAAGTTCAGTATACCCATGAAGATTGAAAAATCATTAGTATACAATTGAGAAAAAAGTTGCAGAGAGTTAGTCAACATTGATTCTGATTTTGTGCTTTTACTCAATGATTTGAATATTACAAAGCAATGTGGTGTTTTTACCCAAAATTGAAAATTAGCTAGAGATATGTCTTATCTAAACTATGAACAATCTCATTTGCATGTCTCGTCGTCTCTCAATACTCAACACTGATGTTAGTGTTGTTATAATAAGTAGATAACTCTCTACAATGTCAATGATTAATAATATCTCTAAATTTTGTGAGATCTTTTTTGAATAGAAAACTAACCTCTACAATTTTAGCATCTAACTCAAAATCAACAAGACCAATATTAAGTTCATGAACTCAATTAAGTAGCGAATGTGAGCCAAAAGTTTCACCCACACGAACCTCTCACAAGGGAGAGATCCATTCGATTTTAGTTTAAACAAAAGCACCGTTCTCAAATTCATTGGTAAATGCAATCCATTCATATGGGAGGTTTGGGGTGTTTATGAAAGGTTTAAACTTTCTTATTCTAAAGGCTTTGCGAAAGTAATTCTTAATGTCGATTCAAGAAAAGTCATTGATACAATCAACAATAAATGATATAAGGATCTTTCTGAGTTGGCTTTGGGTTTGATTAGGCAAATTGATGATAAATTTGTAGTTCGATTGTTTTATTGGGCTCCGGCCATCTCTTTTACCATTGCATTTAAGGGTAATGTTAACTTGTATTCTAAATTACATTACCTTGTATTCTAAATTTACATGTTAAGAAATCAATAAATAAAAAGTTTGTATTGAATGTAAGAACTTTGTTTTGAAAGCGGTGCATTGATTTGAATAAAAATTTATAATAATTATTTTTTATTTATTTTTTCAACACACATTCATGATTTTTTAACCTGTGTCATTAGGACAAACATTAGTGTTACCATACATTTAATTACCAATCAACGGCTTGCTCCATTTAGTATAAGACCTTATTTGAGTAGAATGAGAGGGAGTGTCCTTGGCCACTTTCTAAAAATGAAGTAAGTCGTCTACTATAAGAAAGGAAAATCCTATATTGTTCAATAATGTGGTTTTATGTGTAATGTAAGTTAAAGCTTTCGGAGATTTTGATAATGAAAATTTAACAAGACAAATACTACTAAAAAAAAATATCTTTTATTTCAGTTGGATATGAGGTGTTACCTCGATTTCATAGACAATGTAATGAAGGATATAATTAAAAGTGCTTCATTTTTTTTCTTGGTTGTAATTCTATCAATGAGAAAGGTGTAATAGTCATGAGTTCGATCTCCATAGATAACATTTTAGAATTTTTAAATAGTGAAAAACATCTTTCACCTCGGTTGTGTCGTTTAACCGAGAGAAAATATACGGTTGAATTTATTATATATAACGTGGATGGCTTGTTTTACCAAATCCTAACTACACATATAACTTTTCAAATTGATTTGGAAAACTCTGCTGCAGAAACACTAACAGTAGAAACTGTAGCAGAAGCCATGCCGGACAGGGAGATATCGTCGACTGCAACAAATGTTCAAGTTCGAAGTTATACACCTCATGATATTGTCTTCTCTGTTCTGTCTAAACTTGCTCTCAAATCTTTCAAGCGATTTCAATCTGTATGCAAATCACGTCCTTTTTGTTTGTTGATCCTTATTTCATGAATCTGTACTGAAAATCTTTCTTAGCGAAGGATTTATCTTATTATGATGATACTCTCTCCCCTCTTGTATCTGTTTGATGAAGAATCTTGCTGCCATTTGTATTCTCTTTCCGGTGAGAGGTTTGAGAATGTAGTTAAATTAGTTTCCAAAGTCATTTCTGGAATACTGATTCCCATTTCAACTTAATCATTGGGTTTAACTAGTATATAGGCATTTTGTCTTCATTATATCTATCATGATTGTCACTATATCTATGATATGATCCTATAAGACTCTATTCTTGTTGTTGGGATATATACAACCTTAGTAGTAACCTTGGTCTGGTTTGGTTTAAGTACATAGAAGAAACATTCTTCCAATTAGAGAAATATATAATTAGGTTTTTTTTAATGTTTTCAAGTTAAATTTAGAAACAGTTTGATTTATCAATTTCATTTTGATGATTTACTCTATTTGCAAATTGATACGATTTCTTTTTCAACTGTAAGAACTATTAATTTTTTTTTTTTTTTGCTTTTACTCCAATTGCCTCTGATTTTATGTAGAATGGATTAGCTTATACTTGAGAAGCTTGATGGTGTAAATGAGCAACATGTTTTTGTTTGAATTCCATTACATTCTACATGAAATATCACTGGCACCATGCTTAATTTTACACCTTTGTTTTTTCTTCAATGTTGCAATTTAGCGATTAAAATCCAAGTATACCAGATAAAATGGCAGAGTTTGAAATGTGTGTGGATTAAGAGTTTGATGTAGGTAGTAGAAGCAATATTAATTGTGTATCTATAAGTCCTCCATAATTGCAACAATTTTGAGTTTGTGGGTGTATCTATCTAATGGTCTAGTAGTAATCTGTCTATGTCATCTAAACAATTGAGTTTGTGGATGTATTATCCCCTATATGCAAAATTTCTGTCAAGTTGGAATATTTTGCATGATCATATAACTTCTTTTCAAGGATAATCTGCCTTAAATTTGGGGATGTAGATTGTGTATTGTGTGCATACTATCTACCATTTCTTTGCAAGTAAATGTAGCTGCTTAATGGAGATATGAAAATTTCAATACAAGCTTTGAACTGTCATAATGATATGTTCTGGCAATTTATACCTTTATTTTAATATACCAGAACAATAAATTATTCATATTTCATCTAGAGAAAAAAGTTGCACCTTTATATGCATGTAATTATGGTACCTGATCAGTGTACAAGCTATCACAAAATGCAAGGAAGTCAAATAAAATGTGAGAAAAGTGTTGGAAATCTTGGTATGATGTAAACTTGGAATCGGAGTTGGAATAATTTATTGACATTAAATGGACAATAAATGAGCACAAGTAAGAACTAACATGAAAGTGAATTTTAAAAGATTCATTTTAGTCCCAAAAGAGTGAAAATTAATTAATATTAATATTATTATTAATTAATTAATAGATGGTGAAGTGTCATGCACAAAAGACCAAGTCTTAACCTAATTATTGACTGGTTTTTACTTGCCCTCCAAAAGACCAAGTCTTAACCTAATTATTCACTGGTTATTGACCGGGCCAATTCCACCTCTCCCACTATTTTCTCTCACTAGACTTGTTCCATTCAGTTGGACCTTTTTACTTATAAATTAAGTTGTTTCGGTTCATTTGGGCAGTTCCAGAATTTACTTCTACAATTCTTCTCTCTTCTCTCATCACTCACTTCATATATAATTTTCTTCTCTCTTATTTTCGACTGGATCACTTCGTATCCAGATACTAAGACTGGTTAATTACCATCCGAAGGTGTCATTTTACGAACGACTAATTATAGTGCAAATAATTGTCGTAATTGAACGGGCTGTTTTATCCTGGAGGCGTCGTCGAAACTCGACTGCTTTGCATTAATATTGGCAGTACGACGAAACGTCTTAAAGAAAGCGACCTAGTACGCGACTCGTCCCGATACTTTTCCTTTGTGCCATTTTTTAAAATCCGATTTCTACAATTTTAAGACGTTTTCATAACTACCATGGCTACTGAGGAAATTATCGGTACTAGCGCTGTCGCTTCTGTCTCTGACAAACCATTTAAGTTTGAGGGTTCCAATTTCAAACATTGGCAAGCTAAGATGAAATTTTTCTTAACTTTAAAGAAGGTTGCCTACGTTCTGACTGAGGATATCCCTGTTGCTCCATCTGGATCAAACGAACTAAGTAATGGTAAGTCAACCGTGGAATCAGACGAAACTTCTAAAACGTCTGACTTAAACTCCGCTGCTAAAGCTGCAGCAGATAACTTACAACTCCAAAAAGAAATCGCCTTATGGCAAGAAAATGACTACCTCTGCAAAAATCACATTCTGAACAGTCTTGCTGATGATCTCTATGATTACTACAACAATTACAAGACTGCTAAACAGGTATGGGAGGCTCTGCAGAAGAAATATGATACTGAAGAAGCTGGTGAAAAAAATATGCTGTCAGTCGCTACTTGAATTACAAAATGGTGGATGAAAGGTCTGTGGAAGCTCAAAGCCACGAGATACAGAAGATTGCTCATGAAATCATAACTGAAGGTATGCCCCTCAATGAACAATTTCAAATTGCTGTTATAATTGACAAGCTGCCTCCTGGTTGGAAAGATTTTAAAAACCTACTTCGACATAAAACTAAAGAATTTTCAATCGAGAGTTTGATTACCCGCCTTCAAATTGAAGAGGAAGCTCGAAGACAAGATCAGAAAGATGAAGTCTTAGTTGTTTCAAACAACAAAAAGAAATTCGGCGCGGTTCTGAAGCCTACGGGCAAACCTTTAAAGAATCAGAACCGTAATACTGTGAACCGAATTAAGAATGGGAATCCCTCTAGGGCCCCATATACTCCAATTCCTAGGCAGCAACCACCATCCCAGAGAAATGATGCTCCGGTTTTCACTTGCTACAATTATGGGAAACCGGGTCATATGGCTAAGAAATGTAAGAGCAGGCCTAAATCTGCTACTGACCCAAATGCACAGGTTAACCTGACTGATGAGCAATTCATTGCCACGATCACTGGAGTCAACATGGTTGATGGAAGTGATGGATGGTGGATAGACACTGGTGCCTCTCGTCATGTTTGTAATGATCGTGCTATGTTTAAGACATACATGAATATTGAAGATAAGAAAGTGTTGTTGGGAGATGACCACACCACTAATGTTGTTGGAATTGGAGATGTTGAGCTGAAGTTCACTTCAGGAAAGACCTTGATCTTGAAGGACGTCATGCACGTTCCTGAAATTAGGAAGAATCTTGTTTCTGGTTTCGTTTTAAATAAGGCTGGGTTTAGTCAAACTATAGGGACAGACTTGTACACCATCACTAAGAATGGTATTTTTGTTGGGAAAGGGTACGCCACTGATGGCATGTTTAAGTTAAATGTTGATTTGAATAAAATTTGTCCTTCTGTTTATTTTCTGCGTGATTTTAATATTTGGCATGCTAGACTATGTCACGTTAATAAGCGAATAATGTATAATGCAAGCAACTTAGGCCTAATCCCTAAACTAAATGTCAATGATTCAAATAAATGTGAATATTGTACTCAAGCTAAGATAATTAAGACATCGCATAAATCAATTCTAAGAGAATCTGATCCCCTAGATCTTATACACTCTGATATATGTGAATTAGATGGAACTTTGACTAGGAACAGTAAACGTTATTTTATCACCTTTATTGATGATTGTTCTGATTATACTTATGTATACTTAATGAAGAATAAAAGTGAAGCACTTGATATGTTTAAGTTGTATGTAACCGAAATTGAGAATCAACTTAGTAAGAAGATCAAGAGACTTCGTAGTGATAGGGGAACTGAATATGACTCTGGTCTATTTAAGGACTTTTATAAAGAACATGGAATTATACATGAAACGACTGCTCCATATTCTCCTGAAATGAATGGTAAAGCAGAAAGAAAGAATAGAACTCTTACTGAACTTGTCGTTGCAATTATGATGAATTCTGGTGCTGCACCTCACTGGTGGGGGGAAATTTTATTGACTGTTTGCTATGTCCTGAATAGAATCCCCAAGTCAAAATGTAAGATCTCTCCTTACGAGATATTAAAGAAAAGACAACCAAACTTGTCTTATTTGAGAACTTGGGGCTCTCTGGCTTATGTCAGAATTCCGGATCCGAAGCGAGTTAAACTCGCTAGTAGAGCATATGAATGTGTTTTCATTGGATATGTAGCAAACAGTAAAGCATATAGGTTTTATGACCTAATAGCAAAAGTGATCATATAATCAAATGATGCTGAATTCTATGAAGACAAATTTCCCTTCAAATTGAGAAATAGTGGGGGCACACAATCGAGTCACACTCCTGTGATAAGAAGCACAAAATGCAACGACAATATAGAAACATAACTTCGACGAAGTAAACGAGTAAGAGTATCTAAAGACTATGGGCCTGACTATGCGGCTTATAATGTAGAAGAAGATCCAATGAATCTTCAAGAAGCCTTGTCCTCTCTGGATGCTGATTTATGGCAAGAGGCTATCAATGATGAGATAGAATCTCTAGAATCCAATAAGACCTAGAACTTAGTAGACTTGCCTCCTGGTTGCAAACCAATTGGTTGTAAATGGGTTTTGAAAAGAAAACTAAAACCTGATGGAACTATTGATAAATACAAGGCTCGCCTTGTTGCCAAGGGTTTTAGACAAAGAGAAAATATAGATTTCTTCGACACCTTTTCTCCTGTCACTAGAATTACATCCATTAGGGTACTTATTTCAATAACTGCTATTTATAACTTAATAGTACACCAAATGGATGTAAAAAAGCTTTTTTAAATGGTGACTTAGAAGAAGAAATCTATATGGAACAACCAGAAGGGTTTGTAATCTATGGACAAGAAAATAAGGTCTGTAAGTTAAATAAGTCGTTGTATGGACTAAAACAAGCTCCTAAGCAATGGCATGAAAAATTTGATAACTTAATGATATCAAGTGGGTACAAAGTGAATGAAAGTGAC